ATTTTGTTTGGTCAATTTCCTGATTCTCGAATAATTCGAGTATTCTCTTTATTTCTTCAAGAAACTCTTTTCTTTGTTTCTTATTATGATTTATTTGTACTAGGTTTCTTTTCATTAATATGTTAGGTTTTCTCGTAATCCTTCTTTTGGATTATATATTTCAATTGTTATTGGTTTGAATCCTATTATATCTATATAGTAAATAGTATAGTTCCACAAATATTGTAATATAAAATCGTAATCATTTTTCTTTAATATTTGTCTAATATTATACCAGTCAAGATATATTTTTGATTCTAGTACTTGGTCAATAAATTTTGATTCTTTTCCTATATCGTTTGTTGATGCTAGGAATGCTATTAATTCGTTACAAAATAATTGATATTCTTCTTTTGGTATTCGATTTGTTAAAGGTATTTGTTTTGTTCGTTCTAGTATAAAAAGTTGTATCCACTCTCTGAGTCGATATTCTTTTATTATAACACTATCTTTTGGTAAAAAGATTTGTTGGTTGAAATCAATATATTGTTCTTGGTAGTTATTTTCTTGTTTATAGATTTTTGGTTCTTCGACTGTTTCTGGATTTATTTCCTTCAGTAAGGAGTCAAATTTTTCTCCTTCGTTTTCTGTTATCGGTTCGTTTAGGTATTGTTCAAATATTCCTACTACTGTTGTAGTATACTGTTCGATTTCTGTCGTCTCCAGTTTGTTTTTTCTTGGTCCATATGAACAGTTAGTGATATGTCTTTTGATACAATTATCGCACTTTTCTTGATTTAATTCTTTCCTACACTTTATTTTCTTTCTTGAACAATGATTGCAAGCTATTGTCTTTTCCTTTGGTATTCGTATCTTTTTGAATTTTGGTAAATTCTTTTTTATTTTCTTTCTTATTATATAGATACAATTAATTCTTCTTCTGTTACAGTCTTCATACCTGTCTTGGAAAAGTGTTCTTTTACACTTTATTTTTCTCGTGTAACAGTTGTTACAAGCTTGTTTATATTTTCCTACTGTTGGTCTTTTAGTTAATTTTTTCGTATAATTACACTCTTTCTCGTTTCTTTTTGTACAACGTTTACACTTTGTTGAGCCGTTTTCTTTGATGCACTTTACTTGTTTATTTAAACAATTTCTACACATTTTATTTATTTTTGTTATGAATATCCTTGGTCGTTTTGTTCAAGTTTTTCTAATATAACTGCACTCTAAATTATTTGTTGTACACCTTGTACACTTTGTGTATCCTTCTTCTTTTTTACAACGTACTCTTTTGTTATTGCAGTTTTGACAATTTTTGTTCATGTACTATTTTCTTTTTGATTGATAATGTCATCTACTATTTTAGTAATCTTGTCAAGTAATTCTTGTGTTTCTTCTTTTTCTTTGTTTTGTTTCCTATTTCCTCTTTTATCTATAGCGTATATGCACTGAAGTTTTCTTTGGGTACAATATTTGCACTCTTCCTTTTCTTCTTGTTTGATACACCTTTGTCCTATTTTTGAACAGGTTTTACACCTTTTATTTATTTTAATATTTTTCATTCAATATATATTGGATTGTTCCCTTTGGGATAGATTCTTTTGTTGGTTCTTCAGGTTCTCTTTTTTCTAATTCCTTTAGAATGGTTGGTCCTCTTTTGATTGTTCGATAATCTATTTTTGATCTTATACAGTGTTGTTTTAATCTTAGACAGTTAATACACTCTTTTATTTTTGGTAAGAGTTCACACTTTTTCTTCCACTTTTGACAATAGTCGCAAGCCTTACAGTTTTGCAATCAATTGCTCTGATTAGTTCTTCTGAATGCCCACGGCCAGAAATTGCAAAGTGATTGATTTTCCGGGTATTGATCTTTTTCTTCTTCTGCTAAGGTTCTTGCTTCTTCTAAAATAGAGTTTATCTTCTCCTTGTAGGTTGGTATACTCTTTGTTTGTTCTAATTCTTGAAGATTTGTCTTGAGTGGTTCTTTCGTTATTATTTCTAAGTAAGTTACTATTGATAATTCTTCTTTTCGTAGTGCTATGTTTGTTATATCTAATGGGTCTTGATTTAATAGTATTGAAAGGTTTTGAATTAATTGGAATGTTTTTCGGTACTTATTTTGTTTAGTTATTAGTGTTCAATTCATTTGTTATGATTTGTCTCAGTTGAATTTTGCTTCTTTAAATACTTTCTGATGTCGTACTTGATTGGTAATTGTAATGCCCCAATTCATTACTTTCCCGTAGTACCTTAGTGTTGTTCCTTGAAAATGTCTTCTCAAGGATCAAACATTGGTGTTTCACGATAAAGATTTCTTTGTTCTTATCGGTAATCTATTTCCTTCAGTCATTGTTTGTTTAATAAATATTAATCATGCTTTCCCAAGGCATGATGTTTTGATTGATTGGATCTTGATAATCTTGTTCCCTGTGAGTGCCATCCCATGGTCTTATCTCATTATGACTATAAAAGCTATTTAATATTTCTATTTTTGGATATTCGTATTCCAGTAAATATATCGAATAATGATTGTTTGTTTTGAGTGTATCCCAATACACTCGTGATTGACTAGTATTTTTATTTATTACACCCTTGTTATTTTCTTGTATCAATGACCAATTGATCACAAGATATATATATTTAATCTGGTGCTACTATGTCCCATCCATCGCATAGTGCTATCGCACGCTTTCCCTTTATAGGTATATTAACGGATAAACTTTAATATCCTTCTATTAATTCTCAGAATTATAGATTATCCTTTTTGGAATATATTAATATTATCCTATTCGTGCGCCTTTTAAGCTATAATTATACAATAATATTTATACATTTATACTGTAATTTGATAAGCTATATATGGTTATATTTATTATTCTTCTCTCTTTTTTTTTTTTTTTTTTTTTTTAGTTATGTTGAGTAATATTAATTGTAATTGGTGTTGCTGGTGCTGATAAAGATCTTTTTTCGAATTCTTCTTTACTGATTTCGTTGATATTTTGATCAACGTTTCTTGGTCGTACTGTTGGTGACCGTGTAGGTCTTTTTTCCCTTTCTTTTAATTTTTGTAACATTACTGCTCCTTTTTCCATTCGTTCTATTATTGACTCATTGGCTATTTGGATAGCTTCTTCTTCAAAAGGTAAGTCACTTTCTTGTTGCGATTCGTCTCGCCATTCTTCTTTTGATGACAATAGGAATGCTCGAGTTAAAACTTCTTTTCGTATTTTATTTGCTTCCATTTGAAGGTGGGGTTGGTTATAAATCATTGGTTCTAATGCCATTGGTCGATTCATTCTTTCTGCTAGTTCGTCTTCTATTTTTTCGAAGCTTTTTACTATATGGTTGTTTCTTATATTTTGTTTCAAGCTTTGTTCTTCCAGTTGATTTAATATTATTTGCATTACTTGACTTTGTTTTGTTCTTTCTTCTTCTAGAAAGTTAATTGCTTCACAAACTTGATTTAGCCTTTCTTCAAGAAGGGTAAATCCTCTAGCAATCCATTCTTGTTCTGTTTCCCCTATATTTGGTACAC